CTGTAATGGTCAGCCAGTTAAATAAGTATTTTACTGAGGGTACTGCCTAACTATTTTACATGTCATAAACTGATAAATATTAAAAGATATGAGAATATATTAATTTTATATTGCATCATAAAATCGTTTACCTCGAATATACTGCATTCTTTATAGCATACTGTAATTCAAAATCCATGTGACTTCAAAGTTTATAATTTCCATCAAAATAAAAACAAGCCTAAAATCTGCTGCCTGTTGTTTTAAAATATGAATTTTCAAACAATTGTTATACATTCATATTTTAAAAATCAATATGAATTTGAAACTTTTATAGTAGTGATGGGCGATACCGAGTACTCAGTATTCGATACCAGCGATACCACAAACAGCGGTATCGGTATCGATTACTGACGTGGTATCGTTCGATACTTGCACCCTTTTTTAGACGACTTGTTTAATTTTAGTTCTTGGTTGAATAAGACTTAATGAACCACTAAAATAACTCTCAATATTCAAAATGTGGTGCACCAAGTCATGTGTAGAATATATTTATTACGTTTTGGGCTTTTGGTTTTCTTATAGCTTTATTTAGGTTGCACACAGCGATGTAAAATGTTTTTCCACTGACCGGCAGGTGTCGAAAGTAGCCGATACTGGCAATTTAAGTACTCACTTCCGGTATCGAAAATTGAAATTTTGTGTTCATTTTGGTATCGAAATAGGTATCGGTATCGACCGATACCGATCTTAAAAGTATCGGTATCGGTATCGAATTAAAAATCCTGGTATCGCCCATCACTATTTTATAGTTCGTGCATTGCAATGTTCAGTTGTTCATCCCCCCCGGGATAACATGACCTAAATAAGGCCAGGTTACAAAAATGTCCAATATTTTTGGACACACGTGACCAGTGTTTACCAGGGCCTTTGCTTCCCGTACCAGAGCCTCTGAACCGCGCAAAGGCCCTGGGTACGAGGTTGCGTCCATCGTCCATCGTCCAGTCCATCGTCCAGGTTTTAGCACATGCCTTTGCGGCAAAGTATTTTAAAGATAAACAGTAAATAAGAAAGTTGTTAGAAATGTAAATACTCTTATTTGTAGTTTTATTATGTAGTTTTAACTTGTCTTGAATTTATGTAATACTGGTGTAATTTAACCTTTGGGTTACAAAGTCAGTAATTATTAGATCAATTCAATTCAACATGTCTACGATTTGCGTTCTACAAGTGCCGCTATATATTATTTATTTTCTAAAGCCGCAATTGCCGCCCTGAATAAGCTGTTGTTTACAAATCCTTATTGAGTTCTCTCATTAATTTCACGATGTCATTGTCTGTGTAAAACTGTATAGGCAAAGCAACAGAGATTTTAGTAAAATATATATTTCTTAAAATTGCTGAAATTTTACCTTCTCCCTCCCTATTTGCCAATATTTTTGCGAGTATACAAGCGTCACTCCTTTACATCCACCAAATGTCGGGGCTTAAGGTGGCTCCCTATGGTTTTTGCATTATACTACACTATAGTATCCAGGAGACTCCTGTTTCTTCACAAGACGAAATTTATTCGACACATTGACAATGCTGTCCTAAACATTGCAATTTGTTACTTTTGTGTTGAAAGTCTGTTGCCATGGCGGCAGCATGATTAGAATAAAGCTCAAAATTTGTCTTTTTCAGGCCATTTTAAAACCTTCGGTGAACTTTGCATAAAAGATAATACTTGTATAATGATTTTTTCCCTAAATTTAAAAAACTACTATCGTTACGTTTCTTAGGGACCGGTCATTATTTATGGTGGGGGGTGGCACCGAAAAGAAAAAGGTTGGGTAAACAAAATTTTGAGTGAGTAAAAGGTTGGGTAAATGAAAAACAAAACAACTCAAGGGTTGGGTAATAAAAATTTATTGTCATTTCCAAAGCATGACCCACTGAAATATTGGAGACTGAAAAGCAATGTCAAC